CACACACACACACACACACACACACACACACACACACACACACACACACACACACACACACACATAGATGCGTCTTTGGGGAGGGGGCGACTTGTGGCCGTCACTATTTAATTTTATTCAACTTTTGGGGATAAAACACAACCGTGTGGACGTCTTAGTCCGTTTGCATGAACACGTTTGGTTTAATGTGTCGACCAATCAGATCAAAGACTGAAGGAAAAAACAAAGGTTTTCTGTATTTATTGTATTTCAATAAATACTCTGTGCTTGGTATTTACATGTAATCTAACTGATAAGCTACCAGGACATCTCTGCCTGTGTTCTGCTGCGAGTTCAGATCTGTGATTCTGTGTGGGAATAATGAATGGAAACTTAATGGGACAGAATCCCGTGTGCTTGGATTCTAAGAAGAGCAACAACAGCTTGCTGTCATGGTGTGTGTGCAGCAGGACTCAAGGTGCCAAAACTCAACTTTATTTGCTGGACAGGAAACGAAGAGGAAACTAACTAGGCTGGGGAAGATAACACGGCTTAACAGGCAGACAGAACTCACATGAGGATACAACACGACACAGAGCAACAAAAACACAGGGCTCGAATAAACACCGGAGCAATCGGGGAATGGGAGAGGGAAACACAGCTGGTACGAATCAGACCTAACGAGACAACAGAAGCAAAACCAACACGCTGCACACAGGACAGGGACTATCAAAATAAAACAGGAAACACAAAAACAAAACTTAAGGACTAAAATTACAGAACAAAGAACTACTAGAGCTCGAAATACAGAACCATAAACCAAAAGACTGGTAATGATAAACCACGATGAAAGCTCAATAATTATACCAAAATCAAAACACACGACCCAGGACTGTGACACTTTGGGTCACACCAAAGGTTTGTTGTCTGTTGTGAGACATGTCTCGCTTTTTAACCAGTTAGAGGAAAATGCGATTCGTCTTTAACCCTTTAGAGCCGATCGGAGCGGGCACGCTCTGTTTTGCGTAACTATTTTTAAATCCCGGTAGCACTGCAACCGCGTAAGCTAGCGCAATAATTTTTTTTGCATATGAAACCGGAGGAGTTGTACTTACATCTGATGCCATCAGCTTGTCCTCGGTCACAGTTTCCTTCCACATATAGCTTTGCAAAAACTGCATAAAAAGCGCTTGCAGCAACAAAAACATAATATTCCAGAAACTCGCTTTGCCAATCCGATCAGCTGTTTGTAACACTTCCTACGTCCATCAGCGCGAACTGTCGCATGACCGCATGACCTGCCCGAAACCGGAAGTGACGTCATTTTTTCGCGGAAATGTAGTTTGTTTTACCATCAGGGCCTCAGGGCCTATACTGGTGTTTTTAAAAGTTTTCTTTGACTTTATGACTTTCTGTGTCGTTTCTGGGATGCTTAGGACTCATATTGCACTGCTGGAAATAGTTTATTTTGATGCACATGCTGTTTTTTTGCAAATTTGCATTATAATATTTATTTTCGTTTTTCCTGCAGTGTATAGAAATTGGTATATTTCAAAAATAAAACTATGAAGACACTCAAAATAAATTTCCTGTGGTGGGAAACTAGTTTGTGCAACTTTTTTGTATTTACAGTTTTGAGGGATGAGCCTCTTAAATTTCTCTAACTAGAAATATATGTTAAAAAAACAAAAACGATTTTAAATTTTTTTGTAGTTTATTGCACTTCGTTGCAATTTATGTAATTACTATGCACTTAATGCAGACATGTTATTAAAATTTGGGCTATAATGGTTGTATTGACAATGCTCCCAAAAATGGCTCCACAGCATGTAAAAATATAATATAAGCTCTGGCGGACTTGGTTGTATGGCAGGTCTTAAAGGGTTAAGGACACTGACTGGCCAGGTGGATTTCAGCCAGACACCGTGTCTCTGGATGTTTAGTGTTTTATTTCTACAGCCCCAAATCACAACAACAGTCACCTGAAAATGTTGTTAGTGGTTTCACATTTATCATGTAGACAGATGTGCACGATGTGTTTATCACATCACTTTGAAACATGTCGTCTTTTCACTGTCCTCTCTCTTATTCTTTCACTTTAAATAAACATTATGTCCACAAATATTTGGACAGAGACAGGTTCGGTTTTTTATCACAATGAATTTGTAATGAAGTTCAGACTTTCAGCTTTCATTCAGAGGGTGGAACAAAAAGATGTGAGGAACACAATCTGATCATTTCAGGGGCTCAGACGTCATTGGACAAACGAAACAAGTGAAAGTAATTGTTGAAAAGCCTTTTCTGGCACTGACAGCCTGAAGTGTTCAATTCATGGACATCACCGGATGCGGAGCCTCCTCCTTTGTCATGCTGTGCCTTTACTGCAGCAGCTTTCAATCGCTGTTTGTTTGTGAGCCAAAGTCTTCAGCCAATGAAACGCTCAGCTGGGTTAAGATCAGCTGACTGACTTGGCCTTGGCTCTGGCTGTACGTCTTGTGTCCATCTGTATTAGGAAACGCCGTCCAATCGTTTAGCTCGATTTTAGCAGACCTCCTTTATTAACATAACGATATCTTTACTTTCATATGAATTGTGTGTCTTTAATGTCTGTAGTGAAACAGCAGCTGTGTTTGTGTCCTCCTCTTCAGTGGCCTGCTGCTGCCCCGTGTGGGAGTCGAGCACCACGGCATAGAAAGAACCGACGTCGGCAAACTGGGCGGTGGGATCTACTTTAGTGATTCCCTGAGGTTAGTCGAAAATCCCAATTTGACCAGTTTCTTTGTGTGTCTGACACATACGCTGCTGTGCAAAAGTCTTGAGCCGCCCCTCATTCATTGACATTTTGCCATTGAGTGAAAAGTGTGCAAACGTTGGTGGGAATACGACACATAAGGCAAGTATGAAGAACTAGTTCAAGGACGAGAGACGTGTTCCCGTTTTGTGTTACAATCTGGACACAAATCTGATGATTCCATTGATTTTGATTCCCAACACCACTGGCTGAACTCCGTGTTGCACCTCTCCCCCGACTACGTGCGCATCGGCAACGCTTTGAACCAGAACGTTCCAATTTGAATAAGATCATGAGACTTGTTGCCACTTGTTTTAACGTGGTCTTGTGTAATCTGCACGCCTCAGCATCTTCTCCTTGGTTCCCTACGAAGGACTGTGAGGTTCATACGCTGTGGAGTGTTTTCAGTCCTCTGGTTGTAGAGTTTCCTCTGAATGTAAAGCAAACACTGACCTGCAGTAATAAAAGCTTTCACTTGTTATTATTGGAGTTTTGATATCTCTGAACCAAGATGGCAGCAACAGTCACATTTTCCATCCACAGCACCAGTCTGAAATACTCCAAGCCCGGCGTGACGGATGGCTCCCGATTGTTGTTGGTGTGTGACGTTGCGTTGGGACGTTGCAGGCAGGTCTACAGGACGGACGTCCTGCTGAAGCAGGCTCCCGACGGATACGACAGCGTGCGCGGAGTCCGCCGCGCTCCAAACACTCCCTCTGAGTTTGAGGTACAGTAGGACTGTGTGAGCGTTTACATGCACAGATAAACAGACAGAAGAAAACACTTCCTGCCCATAAGCTGAATTATTGTTCTTTGCTGAATATTTAACTGTTGTCACACTAGGTTCACTCCACTAACGCACACAAACATACATCCACTCTTGTGTCCTCCAGGATGATGAGTATGTGGTATACAGTCCTGATCAGGTGAAACTCAAGTATGTGGTTCAGTTCAGCATCCAAGGAGACCAGCTAAAGGCCTTCACTCCTGCCGTGGACATGTCACCTGAGCTCTGTCTTCCTCGTTCTGCTGAAGGTGAGCACTGGACACCTGCGCCTTTGATCGGCTCTTATTTATGGCGATGAATGTGAGAGTACAGTGCGCTCAGCTTAGTGGTTGAAGTTGAGCTTTCATACGTTTTTACCCCTCAGCAGTAAAAGGCTCATGTGGTAGCATCATCACCAAGTTTATAATTCCAGTAAGCTGAGAATGAAATTTGAACCTCAAGTGCTAAAAATCATCAGTGACCCTTGACCTCAAGATCAAGTTCATAGGTCTGAAAACTCCAAAAGGAAGCCTCCCAGGATTATGACACTTACTCCATACTTGCATCTACTCACATTAAGCCCAGACTGATCCAAGTGGGGTTAACCAGTAACACCACCAGATGTAACATGTAGTGGAGCAAGCACTGCTGCACAGCTGTCTTTAAAGGTAAACGGTGACGTCATTCATTAGATGCAGCTTATAATTTACAGATGGACTCTTTTACTCAAAGCACTTTTTAGTTTATCGTAGAAAGACACAAAACCTTTGCATGTAGAGTTGGTGAAACTACACAACAACAGTTTTTTGTCAAGCTCTTCAAAGTGTTTGTTTGCACGTCCAGGATGTTGGTTGTGTCCCTGAGCTACAGGTTTGTTGCCATGCAGGCTGAGTCTAAAGAAGTGTCAAGATCCTGCTCCGGTGGCTTCGTCTATGTGAGAGGACTGTGTTTATTGGTCAGGATGGGACTGACAGTGTCTGAACAGCTATGAAATTAGTGGAAAACCTTTGTCAGCACGGTCTGCTAGGTGCAAATTATAATTATGAAGCTGAAAGATAGAAATGAAGCTAACCACGTCATTCTGCACTGTTTTGTCTCTTGTTTCTGTGTGTAGAGCTCAGTTTAGGCGATGATATGTTTGAAAGCAGTAAAAACCCCTTGGAAGAGGTGACCGCCGGACTGTTGGACAGCGCTGGTCAGCAGCTCCCTCTGCAGGCCGTTCATGTGAAGTGTAAACTGATGGATCTGCTTTCACAGGTAACGGTGGCACATCGAGTCTTTTCAGTGTTTTTCATTGTTAGCTTGCTGACATACGATTTGACATTTGATGTGATCGTCTGTGTCCTTGTTAGGTCATCATCTTCCAGAAATACACAAATATGAGCTCAGTGCCCATTGAGGCAAAGTATGTTTTCCCTCTAGATGATTCAGCTGCAGTGTGTGGGTTTGAAGCTTTCATCAACGGGAAGCATGTCGTGGGACAGGTAACGGAGCGTTATTCAAATACTGGTTCACCGTCTGAAAGTTTTCATTTCCTGTTTCTGTGAATTACAATATAAACACCTGTCAAACTCACTCTATCTGTCTGTCTGTCTGTGAAAATGTGACCAAAGCATAACAGGATCTTTTATTATTCCTGTTGTTGTTGTCAAAGCCCAGCAGTCTGTTGATAAAGCCCAGTACTCTGACGCTGGAGGGAGTAGAAAAGCATTCTTTAGTGTTTTCCACAAAGTTCTGCCAACATCGAGCCTTGAAGCAGCCGGGTTTGTAAAAGACTTCAGGCTGTGACTACATCACCCTTCAGCTCACTCGCTCTTTTGCTAGTTTGATCTATCAAAGGCAGCATTTAGGTTTATTTTGGACTTTGAAGTTCTCATGAGCTCATTGGCTAATGATTTGTGAGTCACAATTTGTTGACCAATAAGCATGTGGGTTCTCTCATTTCACAGTCATAGCCCTGTGCTCGTGACATTTGGATTCAAAAGATGAACGATGAATAGTAAAGCTGCTCAGTTTGAGGGTCTACGTCTATCGTGTATATAAAGCCTGTGCTGTTCAACACAACGTGAGCAAACCAATGGATGTTTGTTTCTCAGGTGAAGGAGAAAGAAAAAGCTCGCAAGGAGTACAAACAGGCTATTGAGAAAGGACATGGAGCTTATCTCATGGACCAGGATGCACCTGTACGTCTAAGCACACACACACACACACACACACACACACACACACACACACACATCATGCGGGTCCAGAGCTGTTTAGCGTCTCCTGGTGTTATGTAGGCCCTTTTAGCCGCCACTGGTTGTGATATGGTCTGTATCCTCACTGCAGGATGTGTTCACCATCAGTGTGGGTAACCTGCCCCCTGGTGCAACTGTCCTCATCAAAGTGACCTTTGTCTCCGAGCTGATCGTCAGGGACGGCACAATTCTCTTTTCCCTGCCCGGCAGCGTGGCTCCGTGGCAGGAGAGTGCAGCCCTCAACCAGACCACACAGGTAACAGAGATCCTGTCCAGCTCATGATTGAATCAGAGTTTGCTTTGATGACAAATATGACTTTAAACGTCACTCCACAGGTCCGTGTGGAGAAGGTGTGTGTAACTGATGAAGCTGCGAGTGTGAGGTGAGCGAAATGAAGCATTTCTGTTAACCAGTCAGCGTGAACCTCGTCTGCTCATATCCACCTCCAAACTGTTAAGAACTGAACAACAGCTTTGCAGTATTTACGGCTTCATTATTTTGTGTATCGTCATGTTTTTGGTTTGGGGTTGTTCAATCACTGTTCCTTTTCTCTCAGAGAGTTCACCTTGGACCTGTCAGCTGAAATGCCCTATGAGATCTCCAGCCTGCAATGTATCACTCACCAAATCAAGATGAAGGTCATTTGGCTTTTTATTTTACATTTAAGCAGTGAAACTGAATATTTTATTTACAAAAAATGTGTCCAAGTGGAAGACGGTAGATAATGAAAAGAAGAGGCCCCAGGACAGATCCCTGCACGCCTGCAACCAGAGGAAAGGGCTGAGAAGTGAAGGATTTAAGGCGAATAAACTGGGTGATTTAAACCTGGCTAGTGGGATATGGGAGAGACCGATGGAGGCGAGCCTACTGAGGAGAACTGAGTGAGAAATAGTATCAAAAGCAGCAGTCAGATCGAGAAGAATAAGAATGGAGAGTAAACCAGAGTCAGCTGCCACGAGAAGATCATTGGTTACTTTTATCAGCGCAGTTTCAATGCTGTGGGACGACGAAAACCAGACTGCAACTGTTCATGCAGATTATTATTAGTTACGTACGATCCAAATCTTTTGGAATTCAAGTCCCTCTGATCGAGCATGTGAACAAATGACAACCTGGCTGCATTTGGAATTGAATCAGAAGTCGTTAAAATGAATTCTGCTACTAGTAATAACAATAATAATTACAATCATTATTATACTTGATGCCGTTTGTTCTTTATTTACAGCTTTCCAAAACACCGTCATTCATTCTATTTAAAGATTTCGATTGTTAATATTTGTTTAATGTAACTCTATTTTAGTTGGAAATCATCCAGTCAAAGGAAGGCTGGGTGGACCATACCACTAATTGTTTTGCTGTTTTACCTCAAAGTTTAAACCAAACTGCTGTTTACAAATATGGATTTATTGCATGCAAACCAATCATTTTTTGCTCTTTAATGTTTGTGGTCATGTAGAAAACCGACTGTAAGGCAGTGGTGAGCGTGCTGCCAGGACAGATCATGGGTCCAGATGGATTCCAGCTGTCCATCATGCTGTCTGACGTCCACCTGCCCAGGATGTGGGTGGAGAAACACCCTGACAAGGACAGCCAGGTTTGTCTGTCGTTCTCTTTGTCTTCTCCTCCTGTCACTCTAAAAATGCTGCTTTTTTGTTCAGCCATCTCCTTTCCGTCCCTTTAGGCCTGCATGTTGGTTTTCTATCCAGACTTTGAGGTCAGCTCCAGTTCAGACGCAGATGAAGTCATCCTGCTGTTGGACACATCCGAGTCCATGAAGGGAGAGTCTCTCCGCTCGGCCCGCAGAATCGCCCTGCAGATTCTCAAAAGCCTGGATCGCAGCCAGAGACTCAATGTCGTTTTGTTTGGAACAGGTCGGTTTGTGCTTGCAGCCTGAGGCAGCTTTTAGGCTAACATTTAAAAAGTGTTAGCTCAACTCAACCTGAAGGATGTGAATAACAAGAGCAGCACGTCTTTCTGTGAGCAAACATGTGTCACTCACAAGAGTTTCATTTACAGTTTGTCATATTTGCATTTTTCCCACACAATACTTGGATGAAGCTGTTAATCACATATTACTGAGGAAACCCCGCAAATGCTTGCTGTAGCCAGTGGTAGCTTTCTTAACTTTTACTGTGTTTGCCTTTCAGATCACACAGAAGCTTTCCTAACAGTGACGCCACTTGGTGAAGTTTATGAAGAAGCCCAGAGATTCATCAAGGTCAGTTATAAATCTGCTGTGCTCTTATAGCTCCGGGTACCGAGTAGCATGGCTGCATGCTGCTCTATTTGTTCTATTCTTATCTTAGCAGGTACGCTAACACTAGCTAACATGATCCAGAAAAAGCCCTTCTTTCACCTCAGCCCTAAAAGGCTGATGGGGTTTTGTCACCACCCAAGTTTGTGAATGTGATAACTTGAGAACGAAGCCATGTAGGATTTTCAAATTCTTACTATAGGTGTATCTACCAACAGTGTCAGACATGTTTGAATCTTAGTGACCATGATCTGAAGGTCAGAGGTCGACTGTTCTGAAAATCTTCAATTCAGTTTTATTTATACAGCACCAAATCACAACAAAAGTCCCTCAAGGCGCTTTATGTTTTACAGTAGATACAGAGAAAAAGCCAACAATCATATGACCCCCTTTGAGCACTTTGGCGACAGTGGGAAGGAAAAACTCCCTTTTAACAGGAAGAAACCTCCAGCAGAACCAGGCTCAGGGAGGGGCGGAGCCATCTGCTGCGATTGGTTGGGGTGAGAGAAGGAAGACAGGATAAAGACATGCTGTGGACGAGAGACAGAGGTTAATAACAGATATGATTCAATGCAGAGAGGTCTGTTAACACATAGTGAGTGAAGAAGGTGACTGGAAACTTAACTTGTGACACATCAAACTTATTGGTAATGTCACAAGAAAAACAATGGTGTGCTTGGTTTCAACGTAACTTTATTCTGTCATGAGTTATTTACAAGTTTCTGACCACTTGTAAAATGTGTTCAATGTGCTGCCCATTGTGTTGGATTGTCAATGCAACCCTCTTCTCCCACTCTTCACACACTGATAGCAACACCGCAGGAGAAATGCCAGCACAGGCATCCAGTATCTGTAGTTTCAGGTGCTGCACATCTCGTATCTTCACACCATAGACAATTGCCTTCAGATGACCCCAAAGATAAAAGTCTAAGGGGGTCAGATCGGGAGACCTTGGATTCAACTGGCCCACGACAACCAATCCACTTTCCAGGAAACTGTTCATCTAGGAATGCTTGGACCTGGCACCCATAATGTGGTGGTGCACCATCCTGCTGGAAAAACTCAGGGAACGTGCCAGCTTCAGTGCATAAAGAGGGAAACACATCATCATGTAGCAATTTCAAATATCCAGTGGCCTTGAGGTTTCCATTGATGAAGAATGGACCCACTATCGTTGTACCCCATATACCACACCAAACCATCACTTTTGTTGGTCCAACAGTCTTGGAGGGATCCATCCAGTGTTGGTTAGTGTCAGACCAATAGCGGTGGTTTTGTTTGTTAACGTCACCATTCACATAAAAGTTTGCCTCATCACTGAACAAAATCTTCTGCGTGAACTGAGGGTCCTGTTCCAATTTTTGTTTTGCCCATTCTGCAAATTCTGTGCACCGATCTGGGTCATCCTCGTTGAGATGCTGCAGTAGCTGGAGTTTGTAAGGGTGCCATTTGTGAGTAGCACTACTGCGCATATTACTTTGTACATTTACACTACTCGGGTCACTTGTTTACTTGCACTGCTGTGACAATACACTGGGGTGCTAATATGGCACAAGACACTTTAACATTGTATTCACACAATGTACATTTTCAGATTTTGAATTTAAAATTTCCACATTTTTTCTATTTAATTAATTTATTGTATATATTGTCTTTTTGCACAGTCGAAGGAGAGTTCAGGACACATTTCACTGTGTTGCACTCGTATGACTCTGCATATAACAAATAAAGAGCCTTGAATCTTGATGTAAGGAGCAAAAGACCGGGACTGAGCTCTTGGCAACGCAGGAAACTGAGCTACTGACTGTAGTGACGTTTATGGGTGAAGTTGAGCAGCTGACTGAGCTAATATCTGAGTTTCATGCTGAGCTGGCAGCTCTGAGTGCTCTGGCCACAACTCAGCGCTCCCTAAATCAGAGTGCTCTAATTCAGCACGTGCGATTTCAAAGTCCACTAAAAAAGCTACACAGTCCGCTGAATTAGCTCACTTGATCCCCTCGCCAAGGTCGAAGGCGGCAGTTCCAGAACCATGTTCAGCCTCAGTTACTAACTTTAGAGCAGCCTGGTTAACAGCCACACAAACAGTCTGAGAATGCACAGCCTGTTAATGGGCTCTAGTTTAAACACTCCAGGCTCACAATGAGCACAAGAAAAATAGTTTCCATCACTCCCTGAACACTCCTGCCCAGAATGAATAGTCACTGTTTCAGCAGGTAATGACAAAATGCCTCGGTTACTCACAACAGCTTCACAATTAGCAACTACAGGGACGGCTGACAGTGAACTAACAGTCTCCAGGCCCACTGGCCCAGAGAAACCCACAGTGGACAGGTTAGACAAAACCTTTCTCTCTACTTTCAGCTGGCTTAGCATTGCTAGTGAGTGGGGAAGAAACGGCCTTCATCTTGTTAATAGCAAGTGGCGTTACAACTATAGTGGAGTCTGAGTTACTCACTGTGCTGACTAGCACTGCTGGTCCTTTGTCTGCTGACTCAGCAGACGTTGAAGGAGTGAGAAAAGATGGGGTAGGGTGCCGATGGCGAGGAAGCCTTCTTCCCTGAAGTGGAGGGTCCAACAAGTGAGCAGCAAACGACGGTGGAGAAACTGTCCGCCTATGAAGAAAAACCAGGCAACAAGAGCTCCCAGGGAGCAGGGTTTTAATAGTTTTGCAATTTTCATTAGTTTTTATTTTTATTTAGTTTTGACTTCAGATTTTCAATTTTATATCAGTTTTAATTCGTTTTTACCAATTGTTTGCTAGTTCAGTTTAGTTTTTATTTTTTTGAAAATCCTTAGTTTCAGTTTAGTTTTGATTAGTTTCAGTTATAGTTTCAGCTGTGTTTGCAATAATTAAGTGCAACAAAATCCCAGTTTCATCATATCAGTCATGCTCTTCTGCTTATCCTTGGGTATGTTGCTATTCCAGCTACCATAGCCTGCACCCTGCACAGGTCGCCTGTCTGTCGCAGGGCTAACACGCAGAGACAGACAACTCACATTCCCACCTATGGGTTCTTTAAATAAATAAATAAATACATAAATAAATAAATAAATAAAGGCAGATGAACAACCATTGATACCAGGCAACTATAAAATGCCTTGGCCCCAATGAGACTATTAACTCTCGCAGCACCGGGTGTTCGTAATTTTGGTTCAAGTGAATTGATAAACTTTGTGAAGGCAATTGACTCACACAGTTGTGTAGATGTCCCCGTCCTGTTGTCTCGGGATGCATCACGCTGCCTTGCCTGGGATTAGCTTCTGTTTTCTGGGGATGAGGGTTGAGTGTGCTCCCTTCTCAAGGTAAGCTAGGTTAGCCTTCTTGTGTGAGCTTTTCAAGTGCACTTTAAGGTTTGTGGGATTTTTTCGTTTCATAAATGTCCCTCATAATTTGTCTCTTTCCACTACAAGACACTTGCTTTATCCAAAACACAGTCATATTCAAAGTAATCCCAAATTGGACTCTGGCGCTTTCTCCCGACTTTTCCTGACATGATTCTGCGCGTGGACG